ATGCACATTTTCACTAGGATGCGTCTCAAGAGTTAATAGAATATCTAACGACTCCTTACTCAGGCTATCCTTAATGAATTGTATTTTATCTTCATGGTTTATAGATACCATTCATAAAGAACAACATTGTGCATTAAAAGTCCATCTAGCACATCGATGACAGACTTTCAGTCATTTTGCACGACATTTCTTTGCGAAAGTGCTTTTACCTATTCCAGGCATGTGTGAAATGAAGGAATTAGAGGACTCACCTGATAATCGGACCTTTGTTTCAATCAACTAGCGAATATCTTCAGGAATTCCATGATTCATTAACAAACTCAATCTTGCACATCTAGCACGATAAATTTTTATAATCACATTCTGAGACAGAGCGGGAAAATACTTTTTAAATTTTTCAAAATTAATGTCCATTATCAAATGAGAATTGGAAGAGAGATTCAAAGTATTGCACAAATATATACACAGATATCAGTTATTATGGGAAACTAAAAGAACCGACTTAAGTCACGGAGTGTCGTTGTCTGCCATTTGACCGGGGTGAGAGAAACTAGCAAAAATCACTAAAAAAAACATAAAAACAATATGAGAAAAACAAAATAATCAACCTTTATCTATAAGATCATTCAAACCAGTTGATTCATTCTCACTGAGAAAATTATCAAAGTAAGCTTTCAAGCTTTCAAATGATGTCCATTTATCTTAAAAACATTGTCATTCATTGAATTCTCAATATCAAAGGCCTTATAAGGATACATATATTTCTCAATAAGTGGACTGCTCCATCTTGATCTTAGCTCTCTAGGGAATAAATGGAGTCGAGAATTATAAAACAAAACTTTTTGACCAGTATCAACTTTTTGATAATTTTCACAAGTTTTACAGAATGCATGTGTGTCCTTGAACATGGTGGGCCAATAAAATTCATTTTAAAAAATGTTTGCAGTTGTCTTTTTTGACAAGGAATGACTCTCACATGCTTCAGAATGACAAAGTCTAATGACACTACTTACCTTATTGTTAGGAATGCATCTTTAAAATATTTGATCAGGATAATAGTTGAATAAGTTAGGGTCATCACAATAAAAGTTTTGCGCGTCACTCAAAAATTTTCTTTTGTCTTCTATACTCTAGTGAGTTGGAAAAAATCTTGAAGCAAAAAATTGAGATTTTTATCATACCAAGGCATTGGACTAAGAGAAAGTAAGGATTCGTCAGGAAAGTAATCATCGATTAGTGTGATGTCAAATGTCGAATTTGTTGTCAGTTTTGATAAAAGATTCGCATCAATATTTTCGATGCGTTTTTCATTCGTGATTTCTTTCTGAGAATAAATCATTTACAAATCTTTAGATTCATCAAACTTATTTTTACTTGAAGTAGATTCAAGTTGATCATAAATTAATTTCTCAATATGATCTACTTCTTGTAATTCATTATCATCTCCAAGTTGCTTGCAAATGTTGAAAATATCCATCTCCAATGTCATGTTTTTAAATGATAGCTTCATCAATCCATTCCTATAATTAATCAATGTGTTAGAAGTTGCAAGAAACGTACGACCTAAAATAACAAGAAATGAATTACATGCTTCAATAGGTTGTGTGTCCAAGACAATAAAATCCACAGGATAAATGAATTTATCTACTTGTATTAACACATCTTCAATTATTCCTCTAGGCACTTTTACAAATCTATTGGCAAGTAAAAGAGTTACAGAAGTTGGTTTTAACTTACCTACATTAAGACTTTGAAAAACTGAATATAGAAGTAAGTTCAAAGTATTATTGTTCGGAAGAATGACACTTACTTGTTCGGCTAAAAAGGCTTTCTTCTTCACATTCAGTTTCCTCTTCACCGTGCATAGATCTTTCAAAAATTTAGCATAGGAAGGAACCTGTATAATAGCATCCAGCAAAGGTATATTGATTCTTACCTGTTTGAAAGTTTCAAAAATTTTAGAGTTGTGATTGACTTTTTTTTGTTTGGTCATGACATGAAGAAATGGTAGCGCTGGTGGGGAATTAGTCTTTTTTTTTGCAATTTTCAGATTCAACCTTACTTGCATTTGACTTGATCCATATGTTGGCTTCCGGAATTACTTGCATTTGCATTATATTTCCCCTTGGGATTTTGTTGTGGTTGAAATGGAAACTTACCTTTCTCTTAAAAACTGAGAACAAATGCTAATTTTGTAAGAGTATCTTTAAAATCTGTCATGTTTTGAACAAGTTGAGTATTGATTGTCTCTTTCTTTTCAATGAATGCATGCAATGTTTCCTCAAGATTTCTTCTAGGAGGTGAAGCATAAGGAGGTGCATATCCATGAGAATTTTAGAAGTTATGGTGTGCTTAAAACAGTGGTTGTGAAGTTTGTACATTGTTATTATCATTCTTCTAATTGAAATTTGGGTGCTTTCTCCAACCAGGGTTGTATGTTTGCGAGTATGGGTTGTGGTTGGCCCTTTAGAAACTATTTAAAACATGGGCTTGTTCATGGAGAAATTCTTTAAAAAAAGGCAAGGTTAGACAATTATTGGTTAAATGTTCATTCGTTTCACATATTTGACACACAATGTTTTCAATAGATTTTAATTGACCACTCTTTTTTAATTTTAGTGCTCGACTTTTCTAGCTAAAGATGCAAACTTGGCTTGGAGGCCATGATCTTCCCTAAGGTTGTACATACCTCCACTAGATGTATGAGGTTGAGTTTTACTCGGTGCCTCATAAGTACCCGTGGTGTCCTAATTTTGAGCATTTTCAGCTAATAAGTCTAAGTACTCCATTGCTTCATCGTGGTCTTTATCTTCAAAAGTTCCATTGCACATCAACTCAACCATTTGCCTATCTCTAGGTGTTAACCCTTCATAAAAATATGAAACCAATCTACATGTTTCAAAACCATGATGAAGGCAAGTATTAAGCCTTCTTTTATAGGCCAAAATTAGGAACTATTGATTTGATGACTAATTGATGAGTGGGTGGCCAACTTTTGACTTGGTGACAATCTTTATCTTCTCTTGTCTACCCAAAATGTCATTGATAACGTCAGAATTAGAACCACTTGAAAACATGAAAGTTGTAGGAAATTGTCTCAGGTTTCTAGGGAAAAATTAAGGTCATTTGGACTTCTAGAACTCCAGATATGGGCCAAACACTGAACAGTGCTCAGGCTGGACGACAGATTCAAAATGTTTTGTTGTTGCTACAATTTGGACTTGAAAATGACCTTTTTAAATCTTGAGCTCCATATGAAAGTTGTAGGCCTATGTCTTACCTTTTCATCCATATAAAGTACACCTAAATTCGAGATCTACAGCTCCAGATATGACCCAATTACCGAACAATGTTCTGGTTTGGACTACACCGGCATCTCTTTTTTAAGTTTGGCCATCTCTTTGTCCTTTCAATTTTAGTTATTAAATTCATCAATCAATCCTTTCATTTATGTGATAGGCCTGTATTTAAAATGAACATTTACCACAAATTAAAGGTATCTTATATTATTAGATATGTTATTATAAAACATGTTTTAGTTTAGGAATTATTAATACTTCAAGTGCACAATGATGATATAAAACCTTGATAAAAATGCACTTTTAAGTACTAATCACCCCCCCCAACAAGCTTATTACTAGTCCCTAGTAATCAAAGCCTTAAAATAGAAAAACAATTTGTAAATTGCATAAAGCAAGGTATTCATCATTCAACTTCCATTAATCTATCTAGATAAACAAACTCTCATTAAATTTATATATCTACTCAATACCTCTTAAACAAGATATTAATAAACCTTTCTTTTGTGCTTAATATATCAACACATATTTATGGGTCTTTTTTACTTGGAAGAAAACAAAATTCTTGTTCTAATGTTTAAGATTAACTTCCTTAGGTTATGATTTTTTTCTTTTTTTTTAAATATATATACATGTAACGTAAAACACAATGCATCTTTAACCCATGTAACGAACTTTCGGCTAATGACTCCCAAACCAATTGGTTTTAGGGCTCCTGAAGGTAGGCATTTACCTAATGAGATTATGAGTCTCTCAATTATACATGTTTTAGGGAGTTGAACATCTTATTCTTTTGAGTGGCCTATGTGAATATAAGCCAGGAGCAAGGATTCTGGAAAGTGGAGCCGGCTCAGGATCCAAAGACGTTAAAATCCAGTTCCAATCTGGATATAAAAGTGAAAAAGTGATATCTCTTTTAGTCCGGTCTTCTTTTCTCTTTTGAGTCAGGTTCTTAAGACAGGACAGGAAATCGGGTTTTCTGAATAATCTCTCTTCTGGCCTATTAAGTAAAGTAAGTAAGTTCGAGATCGAAACTGGTCTTGAGAGAGACTAGACTTTTAGTAACAGTAGGTGCGCCTTTAGTTGAGGAGAGTTGTTCACAAGTAGTGGTTATGAGTTCTTTCTTGTTTCGGTTCAGAAGAGGCTACCCACCTTCAGTTGCACTAGTGGATTGAGTAACCTTTTTTTGAAGTGAGTGAGTGCCAACAAAGTGCATGTGTTGTTGGTGGAGAAAAACACGAATTTTGATAGGCTGGAAGACTGATTATTGAACATTTGTTTCGCACCATTCCATAATTCAAACGCTTGTTGTATAATGTATGACCCCTCGAGTCGCTTCGTAACCCAATGGTATTGACCCTTCTTCGAGGGTTGGTTTTAAGTGTCAATTTTCTTTTCTCTCTAAAAGGGCTATTTAGGTCTAGGGTTTTTACTATCATCCAAAGTGTGGCAAGCTGAATATATGTTGGGCTTTTGTGTGTGCCCCCGCATCACGCTTCCTTGGTATAACCACTTGCGAGCTACTAACTTTCTTATCTGAAAAGGATGGGGAATGATGGTACAAGTCTGATTTTGATAGAGGGCAGCATCTTTGGCTCCACAACTTATAAATCCAATAATTCCAATTTTCAAATAACAAAGAAGGCTATTGAATAGCCTTGCTTCATTACCCATGTGCTCACGAATTGGATTTGAAAGGTTATCCTGACATAGGTTTGCTTTTGGCTTAGATCAACCTAAGTTAAATGAAGTCTCCATCGCCCCCCTTTTACTTAAATAATCCAATATGAAACTTCATACACTTTAAAGTTCATAAGATAGGATGAAAAAACAATTTTTTAAGGTCTTTATACTCATTATGTCTAGCATTGAATAGAGTGAGTATTCCCCTTATTATAATCTTAAATAAATAATGGGTTCTATTAGTTGCCTAAAATCTAAAAGGGCATCTAAATTGGACCGAATCTTTTGTCAAGCTATTGTTCTCTTGTTCCCTAAAAGTCATGGAGTAAGACATCAACTTCTCAATAAGTTTTTTGATTCCATAATGTACTCCTCTGAAAAAACATCGGTGCGCGTGTAAATGAGGTGCTCTACCTAACTGAGCTATAGCCCTTTTGCTTATGATATATATTTTATCATGTCGATAATTTCTTGTCAAGATGAATATTACATGATCCAACATTTGATTTCATTTATCTCTTTGATCGGTATTGCTTATAAAGAATATTACATTTATAATCGATTGATGTGATGGGTTCCATTTCTTTCTCTTTTTGATTCTAAATGACCTACTTAACTCAATGGTTAAAGTATTGCTTTCATACGGCATGAGTCATTGGTTCAAATCCAATAGTAGGTATAACTTATTAGATATCTGAATCCATGGTATTTAATAAGTTTTTCTATCCGCCTTAATTTTATTGATTTTTGATCTTTTTCATTCTATTTCATTCTATTTCCTACAAGCTTAGTAACTCAAGTTGCAGATACTGATACGTAGATAGTGCAATGTTTCATTCCCTTAAGCTTTTCTACTTAACCCATATAACAAGCATCAGGCCAATAGCTCCCAAGTCAGTTGAATTTAGGGTATTAGCTGTTAAAACACCCCTTCGGACTTAATTGCTTAAGTTAGGGAGGCTACAAAACCAAATTTATCTACATTTTTATTATCATCAAATTTTTTTTGCTCTTTTTTTTTGTTTTTTTTTAAATTTATTTACTATCCCTTTCCCTTAGTTGTTATCTTTAATAAAAGAACATAAATAATATAATAATCCAATGTGCAACCCACAATCATATGTTGAAGTGTGTGTGTGTGTGAAAATGAAGGTTTAAGAATACTTGTTAAATAAGTATATGAGCAGAATTAAGTGATAACAATGCTAGAATTTGTAAACCTGAATATTTCAAGAAGTATTCTAATAGACTTTGTTATGAATATTGCATATAACCATTGAAAGCTATTTACCTAGATACGTCTCAAGAGTCAATAAAATTCCTCTATACTCTGTCATCTTAGTAACAACAATTTTGCAAATAGTTTATGAAATAGAAAACACAATTAGTTTTTTATTTACTATCAACTACTACCTTTTTCCCCAAACCAAAACAAGACATTGTCCTTAATGTCCTAAGGTAAAAAGATAGAGCATATAAGACATCACCTAAAACAATGAACGTTGACAAACCTGAAACACATTTAAACAAATATAAGAAACAACAAAACAAAATAATATACTATTAAGAAAACTAAAAGACACAAGTTTTTACAAACTAAGACTGAAATCATAGTTGTGATTGTGGCTCATATCTTCCCTTAGTTTTACATCCAAGAACGGTTTAAACACCCTTTATGGGTCGGGGATAGGCTTCCTATCCAGTTTTCTTAAAAACTGAAAAACAGGGTCTTTTTTAGTCTGATTCCTAAGACTATGTCGAGCATGTTCCTTATGAAAATGGGGTCATAAGTCATGAAATGCACAATGGACATCTCCACTAGGCTATGTCTCAAAAGTTAATAAAAGATTATCTAAAGATTCATTATATTTTGAAATAAATCCCGACTTTTGATAATTTTTACAAGCTTTGCAGAATGCATGTGAGTCCTTGAATATGGTTGGCCAATGAAATCCATTTTCAAAGATTTTTGCAGCTATCTTTTTTTACAGGAAATGACTCCCACATGCTTCAAAATGACACTACTTACCTCATTGTTTGGAATGAATATTTGAAATATTTGATCAAGACAATATTTGAATAAGTAAAGGTCATCCCAATAAAAGTTTTGCAAGTTGCTCAAAAACTTTATTTTATCTTGGGTACTCCAATGAGCTGGCAAAAATCTTGAAGTAAGAAAATTAATATTTTTAACAAACTAAGGCATTGAACTAAGAGAAAGTAAGGATTCGTTAGGAAAGTAATCATCAATTAGTGTGATATCGGATGTCAAATCTGTTGTCACTTTTGACAAAAGATCCGCATCAATATTTTTGGTGCCTTTTTCTTCTGTGATTTCTTTCTTAGAATAAATCATTTGTAAATCTTCAAATTCATCCAACTCATTTTTACTTAAAGTAGATTCAAGTTGATCATAATTTAATTCTTCAATAAAATCTACTTCTTGTAAATCATTATCATCTCCAGTTGCTTGCAAGTGTTGAAATTATTCATCTCCAATGTCATGTTTCCAAATGATAGCTTCATCAGTCCATTCCTATAATTAATCAATGCATTAGAAGTTGCAAGAAACAGACTTCCTAAAATAACAGGAAATGAATTATATGCTTCAACAGGTTATGTGTCCAAGACAATAAAATCCACAAGATAAATGAATTTATCAACTTGTACTAACACATCCTCAACTATTCCTGTAGGCACTTTTACAAATCTATCAGTAAGTAAGAGAGTTACAAAAGTTTTTTTAACTCATCTAGATTGAGACTTTAAAAAATTGAATATCAAAGTAAATTTACACTAGCTTCATGATCAAGTAAGGCTCTTTTAATTTGATGTTCTCTAATAAAGTAATAAATTATATGAAAACCAGGGTCTTTATATTTCAAAGCATTATTATTATGAAGAATGACACTTATTTGTTTAGTTAAAAAGATTTTCTTTTTCACATTCAGTTTTCTTTTCATAGTGCATAGATCTTTCAAAAATTTATTATAAGAAGGAACCTGTTTAATAGCATCTAGCAAAGGTATATTGATCCTTACCTGTTTGAAAGTTTCAAAGATTTCAAAATGGTGATTGACTTTCCTTTGTTTTGTCATGTCATAAGGAAATGGAAGTGCTGGCTGGAAATCAGTTTTTTCTTTGCAATATTTAGATTCAACCCTTTCCTTACCCTTAGAGATTGACTCATCATCCTTCTTATAAGGTTCAAGAGTGAGTTTTTCAATAACCTTACCACTGTGAAGTGTGATGACTAATTTAACTTGATCTAAGTGTTGGCTTCCACAACTACTTGCATTTGCATTGTATTGCCCATTGGGATTTTGTTGTGGTTGAGATGGAAACTTATCTTTCTCTTGAAAATTGAGAGCATATGTCAATTTTGCAAGAGTATGTTTAAAAGATGTCATACTTTGAGCAAGTTGAGTATTAATTATCTCTTGCTTTTCAATGAATGCATGCAATGTTTCCTCAAGATTTCTTCTAGAAGGTGGAGCATAAAGAGGTGCATATCTATGAGAATTTTGGAAATTATGGTGTTCTTGAAATGGTGTTTGTGAAGTTTGTGCATTATTATTATCACTCTTCCAACTTAAATTTGGGTGATTTCTACAACGAAGGTTGTATGTTTATGAGTATAGGTTATGATTGCACCTTTGGAAATTATTTAAAACATGAGCTTGTTCATGGAGACATTCCTTAAGAGAAGGCAATGTTGGATAGTCATTGGTTGAATGTTCATTGGTTTCACAGATTTGACATACAATGACTTGAACAGATTTTAATTGACCATTCTTTTTTAATTCTATTGCCTCGACTTTTCTAGCTAAAGATGCAAACTTGGCTTGGAGGTCATGATCTTTCCTAAGGTTGTACATACCTCCACGAGATGTATGAGGTTAAGTTTTACTTAGTGCGCCATAAGTATCTACGGTGTCCCAATTTTGAACATTTTCAGCTAATAAGTCTATATACTTTATTACTTCATCAGGATCTTTATCTTCTAAAGTTTCATTGCACATCAATTCAACCATTTGTCTATCTCTAGGTGTTAACCCTTCATAAAAATATGAAACCAATCTCCATGTTTCAAAACCATGATGAGGGCAAATATTTAGCAAGTCTCGATAACTATCCCAATATTGATAAAATATTTCTCCTAGTTTTTTAGTGAAAGTGGTAATTTTTTTTTTTTGAAAGAGTTTGTTCTGTAAGAAGGAAAAAAACTTCTTTAAAAACTATTATTGCATTTCAACCCAAGCACGAATAGATATAGGTCTCAAATTGTATAGCCATGTTTTAGCTTTGTCTTTTAATGAAAAAGGAAAAAGCTTTAATATAATGGTGTCAATGCTACAATTTGAGCCATTATACTAGTTGCAGACCTCCTCAAATTCTCTTAAATGCAAGTATAGATTTCCTAAATCTAAGCAATGAAAAGAAGGTAAAAGTTGAACAATGTTTAGCTTAAAATTAAAATGAGATGCATCCAGAAGGGAAAACTATGCATGATGGTGTACTTGTTCTTATGGGATTCATGTAGTCTCTAAGTGTTCTAACATGGTTATTCTCATTATTCTTATTATGAAGCTACTCGTTATCTTCTTGACACGACCAAAAACTTGACACGACCAAAAGATTGATATCTTCTCTTAAGTGCAGGAGTGTCAAAGTAATAAATAACCCGACAAGACTAGGGTCGAACTACAGGGAGGTTAATTGTATAAATTATAAACAATAATAATAAAACAACAACAATAATAATACTAATAATACTAACACTAATAATAATAGTAATACTAGTAGTAATAAAATAATAACACTAATAGTAGTAGTAGTAGTAGTATTAATAATAAAGAAGAAGAAGTTGATGAGAACTTTGAGATGGAAGATCAATGTGAGAATTAAACAATGATAAAAATAAATATCAAGGTTAGAGGATTCACTAATGGTATTGCAAACACGTATAGTATAAACTCTTATTATTCAACTAAAAACCACACACAAAGGAGATTTTAATTGGATTATAAATTATTAACATGATTATATTAGTTATCTTATTCAAATAATGCTAATACTTGTAAATATTGTCAAGCATTCATGATTATAACTTATGTTAACAACAAATCAAGTTTCTTTCATAGCACAGGTGTAGATTATACCATACAGTTGGGCTATGAAAGTGTCAAGTATTTGTTGTAGTAAGTGTTATACAATATAAATCTATATTAACCATTTAACAAGCAAAGTATTAAAAGTGAACAAGATAACAAATACAAAACATGTTAGAATCAAACATTAAGGTCCATATTGAGTTTACATTATACTTATTCATACACTATTAGTGTAACCTTTTCATCTTGATATGATAAACTTAGCTAAACATAATGAAAGAGAGAAACATAAATAAACAAGATAAGAACATAAATAAGATAAAAGTTAACTAAGTAAAGGAAATGAAATGAAAGGCATAAACAAGATATTAATGAAAGCAAAACTTAAGCATTACAAAAATACAAAGAGAGAAAGCAAGAGCATGATCTTGATTTGGAAACCAAGATGCATAAATCTATGACAAATGTCTCCTTTTATAGGCCAAATTGGAAACTATTAATT